TTCCCTTTGCAAGTAAAAATAAAATGAAGTAATTTAACTTCTGAAAATAAATAAATAAATAAATAATCAGTCCTTCACTCCTCTGCAGTGGGTGTGATTCATTGTCTATGAATGATTGTGATATTTTGGCAGATCACTCTTTGAGTTGTTACATATGAATTTATTCCAGAAACTTAATGAAATCACTGGCTTGTAGTTTATTCTGTATTTATTCTGATGTAAGGTTTTCCACTAGTTTCCACTGCTTTATCTTATCCAGTCACAAATAACTTTACTTAGCCTGAGTTAACACCTTCTCCACTTGTTTGACTGGACTAAAGCAATAAAAGGTACTTGAGCCCAATGTTGCACCACTACTCATCAGAAACAAGAGTCTGAGAAGACATATAAAACCACTACAGATATCTGCACTGGCTTAGATGAGAACCACACTCCAGAGCTCCATCTTTGTTTTCAAAACTTCATGGCAAAATTGGTCTTATGAGATGGATTGAATCAAAACTACAGGTTCAAACTATGGCTGCTTCTATTAGGTTGATCGGGCTTTCTGCTGTAAGAATAAACCTTATGTGATAAAAGTCAGAGCATTTCCAGGTTTGAGGCATAAAAGAACTTCATCATGAACAAAAAGCTGTCATAAACATCACTGATGTCCACTCAAAATGCAAGGAATGCTACCCTGAGCTTTCCCTCTATAATAAAAATATAAACATATACTTTGCATGCCCTTCCTTAGTAAACTGTTCTGGATCTCCACCCGTCACATCTGTCTGTTAAGGAGTTTAAACAACCTAAACACTTTACTGGAGGCAGTCTAGTGTCATTTGGATTTTTGTTTACCAACCAGACATTTTAGCCCAGTTTGCCTCTACTGGTTGTAAAGTCATGTCTCAGCAGAATCAGGTGCTCTGCCTATTTACATTTTTCATTCATGTTTAAACAGTGCAAGAGAGTAAACAGTGCTTCAAGTGATCTTACAAATAGGTATAGAGGATGGCTAGGTGAGATATAAACCAACCAAAGACAACATGTCTGATTCTTTTCTAATTTATGGTGGTGAAAATCTGGGACAATTTGACTTAGAAGTGATGCTTAGCAGTGGCCCAGAGAAGGCAACATTTACAATGCAAATCAAACAACACAAACATCTGCAACTTACAAAAATATATAAAAAAACAGCTCTGCTGCTGTACTGGGGCTTCTCACTCTTGACTGTAAATTATCATTATTACCTTAGGTTTGGCAAGAGTAATTGATTCAAGTACTAAATATTTGGAGAATAGTAGGGCAGATAAGTAATTTATTTGATAATGGGCTATACTATTCCTGTGCTTTCTAGTTTAATATCTATGGTCTGAATGTGATAAAAACACGGCATTAGTGTATCAGAAAACTGATACAAGAGCCTGGTTAACTGATTCCACATTTCTACCATTCACAGACATGGGTAGTCACTAAAACTCACAAGTCTGAGTAAAGCTGCTTTATAACTCAAGTCCTTGCAATCTCAAGAAAGGGATCTGAAAACTGTGGGAACATGTGGCCTCAAGACCACCATTCCTCATGTGAGGAACTGGCAACATTAGGTCAGAAGTACTGTGAATATAAAGCCATTTAAGTTTCTGAAATGCTCGTCCAGTGAAAAATGATGAAAACAGAAAACCCACAGAAAAACTAGCATTTTGTTTTAAGAGCAGAATAAAATGGCACAAGCCACACATGAATCAATGAAAACCTATTTAGCAGCAGATCACTGAAGAAGTATAGTCCATTATCTGCAATGAATGAAACTGGGGAGGTGTGGAAAAAACCCTATCACTAAACCTATATACATATGGCAACCCAGTAGTATCTCAGGCAACTTCAATTCTGCATTTCCTAATGTTGATATGCTTGTTCATACTAGTTTTAAAAATGTTTAAGCAATGATATCTAATCTACTTGGATCAAAAGTGTGTTTCTCTGGACAGATGTTCCATGCAGGAAAAGCAATGCTCATAGAAAACTGTCTACAGTTACTCCTGCACACACATCTAGCTCTGGAATAGAGTCACTTTATGATGAGTTACGTAGACTGAAAATAAAACTTCTCCCAAATTGCCTCTGAAGACCAGAATTTTCAGAATACAACTGAATTTTTGCCCAATACTTTTTTCTTCCCCTCTCCCCCCAGTAAACTTTTACTGGGCATGAGCAGACTCCTATTTACTCTGAAAGCAGGCACAAATTCTACACTATCTTAACCCTGATAAGAATAGACATCAGTATGATTCTAGGGTCCTCTAGGAGAAACTCAAAACTGTAATAAATTACTTTTAAGTTCAGAGTTACAGAATATACTTTTATTTTCTATGCCCTAAGCAGATGAGTTTATAATTTATTTAAAGGGTACTTAAAATACCCAATACAAGATTAGATAAAAATGAAAATAATTATCTTTTTGTCATGTTTGTTTCACAGAAAAGCCATACAGAGCTGTCACAGTTTGTTAATTTCAGGCATGAGGTGGAATATGAAGTGCTGGGAAATGTAAGAGGAATTGCTGGTGTTAACTTATTCCTTGTCTTTCTTTGCCACCCAGTGGTTGCTCAGAACAGGACTCACCCTCAAACCTCTGCACTGCTCTTCATGAACTATGAATTTACTTGCTATTATATTTGTAACTCTGACACTCCATAAAACCCCCTCTTTATATATACTTCAAGGTCATTGTTGCCTAACTCTGTGTATGGCACACTGGGATCTCTGACACTATTACCTTGTGGGTGATACAAAAAAAACAGATTAAGTGATACTTACCTGCAACTAATGCTTTTTTCTTCTCACAAAGCTGTAGCTCAAAATATTTTATAAAACAGCTAGAAAAATCATTCAAGGGTGTCTTAGCATGTCCAAAGGCCTCCAAGATACAGTTTACCTACAACACAATGGTGAAGAAGTTATAAGGGAGGAAATAAAGGGGGACATATTTCAACAAACATCAGTAAGGATGCTTTGTGGTCAACAGCTGAGGGAAAAAGAGAAAAAAAAACATTTTTCAGCTTGAAATTTAACAAATTCCATGAAAGTTTGGTTGTAGGTTTTTGTGTTGGTTTTGTTGGTTTTTTGTGTTTTTTTTTTTCTAAATAGAAATTAAAGTAAGACAGCTCAAGAAGAAAAAAAAAACAGTGAAAGTTATAAATGGAAGGGGAAGACAACAGTTCACACTTGAGCTGTGTCCTTACAGTGACTGGAGTCATATGGCCAGAGCTGGTGTGCTTAGCAAAAAGTTTAGAATCTTTGAAGGCAGCTATGCCTGTAAAGTTACAGTCAGTCAATAGTAATAACCAGTCAAAGGAATTTACAAGCTTTAGATGATGCCAGAAATGGCATGAACTATTGATTTCAAGTAGAACTACTTCAGCATTATACTCATGAAAAAGTGGGGGGGAAAAAAACAGATTCTGATTTTTAATACTATCTCTTACTAATGCATTTCTATGTTACATGCTCATGGTCACAGTAATTATTTTTAAAATACTAAAAATTGTAAAGATAATTACAATTATCAAGTATATAATCTTTGTTCCTTGTTTTCTCTGTATTTACCTTTTTTTCTGTGTGTGTGCATAATTACTTTCCTACCCTAAGTAGTTTCCCTTCAGCAGTTCCCTTTTTTGCATCCTAGGAAACACAATCATAGAATTATAAATAGGTTGCAATGTGTCCTCAATACACTATTATTCTGATATAATAATGGTTTCCTGAAGCTGGATGACCTAGATGGGGAGAGGAAGGAGGGAAGAAGGCTGTGGAGTGGCACAGATACCGTGGCTCCAATCACAAAGACAGAAGCTCTAAATATCTGACCCTTCAGAACTATTGGTTAAAACAAGTATTTGTGCAGTAGGTGGCAGCAGAAAACTAGTCAGGCTGCTTTTGGTTCCACTCCACAAGCTTTGTTTAGCATGTATTTGCTTATTAGGTTAATTCAGGATGTGGCTTAACCAGTGCAGCTTTATTAACTTTAATGGTTCTACACATAACTGCAGGAGAAATGAATTCAGACTACAGTGTTCATTAAAGCACCTTAAAAGGCAACTAAACCAGAATCTCTGTTTGATTCCCCATGGGTGGGATTCACTACATCTACTTTCACTGTCTGAAGCCCCAGCTAAGCTAGTTACAAAGGATCTTTCTACAACCAAATGACAACTCATTCTTCTTTCCATGCCATGATGCTCTTAACTGCATTGCATTCCAATTCTCTGCATAAAGACCCATTGACACATATGGCTACATCTATGCTAGCAAACTAAACTGCACCAGGAGCCTCACTTTGTATCCTCTTTGGTAAGTGGCACAGTAAGGTTCACATTCAGACCTCTTCGTTTGCAGAACAGGGTGGATATGCTGTTGTGAATGGTCCCTGGCACATGCTGTTCTCTGAACTGTGGTCAGAGGACCTGCTGGGGATTTAAAATGTGTCAGGGAGCATGGTAACAACTGCACACTAGGGATTGTTTTTCAGTTTACTACATAGATGTAGAGTAGATTAAAAGTTGTCTAGACTGAGTACTCTTCATTGAAGACATCTTATTTCAATTGCACTTAACCATGATGGTTGTCCCTGGGAATTCTTCAATGGTCATGAGACGAGTTGCAGCAGGCAAGACTACTTCCCACCTCTCCTGATTCCCATTGCTAACATATTTGTATCTAAATAACAGTTTTCAGTTGCCTGTTCACAAAGTTACTTATTTACTTTGTTCTCCTACTCTTTACTTAAGTCTGAACTTTAGGAAAGAAAAGGGCTTGGAGGATCTGACTGGAATTTTTCAGTTCTACTTGAATAACAATCATCTCTGTCTTGATCAGTTTAAAACTGAAAGTAAAGCTGTGTAGGTAGTAAATAAAAACTATACAGTAGAAAGAGGTATTACCTGTAGGGCTACTGGGTTTAAAATAAAGTAAAATCTTACCATCCCCACATAATGGCATTATTACAGCACCAGACTTTAAAGAAAAAAAAAAAAAGTGAAAAAAAAGAAAGGATATTCTTAACGTTGTCATTTGAAACCCACTTTACACGTGTCAGTTTAGGAACATCATCAATGAATTAGACAATACTGTGAAAAACACTTCAACATGGCAATTGCATGACTACACCAAGTAAAACAAAGGTACAGCATATTCAGGTGTACTGTTTTCAGAGTCATTGGACTTTTTTAATGCCTTCAAAAAACACAAATGTAACACTGTGAAAATAAACCTTTTATGAACTTATGCATAATAGATGTCCTCTTCCTTACGGTTCAAATGTCTTCGCCTATACAAGAGGCCAGATTTTTGCTTTTTTCTACTCAATGATCAGAATGCTACTTACATGTTTCATTTTTGTATCAAAGGTGTTTCTGCTAGAGCTGGCTCTACAAGTGAGGTGCTTCACTATCTGTTTGCAGGCTTCGGTCTTCCCAGAACCACTTTCTCCACTGCAAGATGGCAAGCATAAAAGGGAGGGAGGAATCATTGTTATTTTCACATTTGATATGTTATTTATATTCTCTGCTAGATCTGTTTTTATGGATTTAAAACATCTCAGTCAAACTCTAATTTCAAATAACAGAACATTTATGCATGGCAAATAACAAAGAACAGAACATAGGAGATACATTGGTTGACTATGTTCACAAGGGCTGTCAGAGCTGTCAAGCTATATTCTCTTGTACCACAAGCCAAGCCAAATAAATCTAATGCTTTCAAGCCATTTTAAGGGTATTTATAGCAAAGATTTTCTCTCCTCCTTTATCTTCTGTTTGGCAAAGGAGTCTTTTTATGCTGCCTTGTTCTCTTTGCAGATGAAGAAATAGTACTGTAGCAATGATGGGAAGCGGAAGGAAATTGTTGATCGCAATATGAAAAGCTAAAGAAAATAGGAAATGAACAGTAAGGAAAATAAAAATATTATTAAATTTTACAACCTGCCCAGTTTCTGCAGTGCAATATACTCTGATTTCCGTGATCTTATCATAGAATCATAGAATCCTAGGGGTTGGAAGGGACCTCGAAAGATCATCTAGTCCAACCCCCCCTGCCAGAGCTTCTCTTAATTTCTTGTTCATTATGTGAAATAAATATTCTAAAGAATGAGAGTCTCTGAAGGGGAAAAGGAGCAAGGAAAACAGGGTAAAAGACAGTATGAACAGCACAGGTAGGAAGAAACAACAGAAAAGTGAAGGGATGGAGGAGAGAAACAAACTCAATGGTGCACTTTAAGCATGGAGAAGGAAGGAAAAGAAACAAAAGAATTGGAAGGGATACAGTTAGTGAAGCCTGATTAAGAATCCATGTGGGAATCTCACTTCAAAGGAGAAATCAAGTAAATAATAAAAGAAACAAAAGAGGAAAGGACAATAAGGTCTTCGCACTTAGGCAAGGATGGGATCTCTGCACCATTCATTTTCTTTGAACTCTTATAGGACATAAACACATGTCTGGTAAATATCCTATTTGTTTACCTGGCAAACTGTAGTCTTAGGTGACAAGACAGATGTCTCCCTCCTATATGTGACGATTCAAACTACTTTTATTTATGTCCTCCATCTTCTATAACGAGCTGTAGTCTGAGAACTTCATACTCCTATTGGCATCACTAGGAAGTTTGTGGTCCAAGACTGCAAAGGTTTGCAACCTGAACACATGTTATGCAAAGACCTCAAATAACAGGTCAAAAAAGCCATATTAGAACCAGGTGTTACAATGGAAGAAATCTTGCGAAGTCACGAAAGTCACTGTCACAGCTAATATGAAACTACTATCTCTCCAGGATTGACAAGGTGCTCCATAAGAGCACTATCCCTTGCTCAGAACTTCAGCTTCTGAATTCCAGAAAGAGTTTCAAAAGTCAGATGATACTTGATGTCATCTAAAATCTGTGTGCACCCCTTCTCTCTTAAGGATGACATCGTTCTCTAAATGATGCCTTTTTATTAAGAAGTAGCATTACCCTTCTGTCTTTATATTGGTAGTGTCCAAATTCCATGTTCCTTTGCCTGTTATCACTAACAGGAACAGAAAACAGTGAAACAAGGCATTAGTCCTGTGATACTCCAACCCTAGAGACATTTCATACTCATGCTAATTACTGATTTTACCTCTGTATTATCCAGAAAGTCAGTGAGCTTACAGTCAGTGAGATACAAATCTATCTTGCCATCTATCTTGCCCCTACCCTCACCCCACTTCCTACTGTCGACTCACATTGGTCACTCCACTGGCACTTGTGTGTCATGATGATGAATTAATTTTGCCCCTCCACAAGATACTTAATCCAAAATCACAGCTGCAACCTGCTATCACTGTACCACAGGTTACAACAAGATTAGCAACAGTGGCTCTTTTGTTATTTCAGCTGCTAAGTAACTCCTCTGAAGTTAAAACATCTTTGAGGTTTAGTACAGTCACAGTTACAGAAGATGCCACTGAGCATCAAAAATTCAGATATGTTTGAAAATCAGATCTGAAATAATTCATAGTTTGTAATAACCCACAATTTGTCCAGTTTGTACTGCCCTTTATGTCCAGGAGATAAACATTTGTATTAATATTCTGAGGGCTGAACAAGACTTGGTATTTAATAAATGGTTGCAATATTATTAATTTTTTTTTTATTCTAGTCTTATGCGGGGGGAGAAGTTGGGCCGTTCTCCACACTTGCTCAACCCAACTTCATCTGCCAAAAATAGCTTTTTTAATGGAAGGCATTTTCAGAGTTAGCAGAGTGGGGGTACTTTTCCAAAAAATGATCCTCACAACTGCAGAAATTGGGGGGGAGAGGGCAGAACAGATGCTAAAATAGTATTTTATGTGTCTTTGATTGTTATTGAGTATTAAAAAGCAGTCATGAAAATTATAATTAAAACCAGAAAAAGACCTTCTTAAACAAAGGAACTGGAGTGTTCACCATCAGTTTCTTCACTTGATAATTTGTTTCATGTTGTAAAGAAAACTATATTTTCTTTTTCACTGCAAGTAGACTGGAAATCCACTACACTTCCGCTCTTCTGCTACCTTGTGCCAGTCTAGCTGGGCCACTGGCACCATTCACGGAAGCAAGGTCTGTGCCAAGCCTATGCTTGCTGACCAGTCTATGGGAACTGCCTGGCTGCTCCCTTTCAGGATACCTGTGGCTAGAGTTTAAATCATCTTTGTGATGGCTCCCAGAAATCACAAAGCCTGTGTGAACACCCAGGCTCTAAGACCTCCATGGCTGTTAGTGGCTAGCAGGTTCAGAAGTTATTGGGTGGAGGGGGACTTGGAGATGGTCAGACAGAACCATCACGTAGAAGTGGTTAAACACAGAAGCCCAGCTAAAATAGTAAGAAAGCAGCAAAACTCAGGAAAAAAAATAAGAATTAAATCCTGCAAGTACTGAGAAGTACACCTTGCTTACCCTCAATTTCTACATATTAGCAAGGTTTGTCTACATCTTTATGAATTCAGATAACCGGATCATTGGTGTTTGGCAAATATAAACTCCAGTGGAAATAAACCCTAAAAATAATATGCTTGGGGAAAAAGATGACAAAATATAAAACATGTAAGGAGGGATGTACCTGCAATTTCAGATCATGTAAGTGACAGAGTTTTAATGTCTGTGTTTCATTTTCAGTTCTGACCAAAGGTACCACATTCAGAATTTCAGGAATACCTAAAAAACCAAACATAACATCCTACTCCTGCAGTACTTGAATTATAATCAGAAATGATGGAAAAAATCTGGTAGAATTTATTCATATAAGATTTCTACCAGTTTTAATGAAATATTTAGATCAACACAGATATGCATGCTGTTTTGTATAAACTTTTGAAACCAATCTCTTACTGTTCCACCCCCAACTGTGAGCATTACTACTCCAACTCCTGGTTCCCAATCTGATAGCAAGACATAATCAGCAAAGTGCAAGTAAACTTGCAAACTTTTGGGAGACCAAAATAATTTCTTTCTTCTCAGTTTGCAGGGTGCATATGCGAGACACTGGATCTTGCTCTGTGACTGAGGTTTCTAGATTTGAAATTAGAAAGTGCAAGCAAGACTGCTAAATATAAAATATATTTTGCATCATCAGTGGTGATATCTACAACTGAACAACCCCGCACATCATTTAGAAATTATATTTCTAAAATAAACTAAACTGAAAAGTGTATTTTTTATTATAAATAGAATATCCAGCTCTGTAACTGTACTGTAGTAGCCCATTGCACTTATAATACATTTAATCATAATGTAAAAAATTAAAGACATTTAAGTTGAATAGAATGCCTGTGGTGATACTAAACTGAGGAAATAAAAAACTTTCAAGGCAGTCTACTTTATTTCTCTTCATTCCAAATTATCTGACTAAAAAATGTCATTTATATCACAACAAAACCATTGGATATTGACATTCCTGGCTGCTAACATACACCAAATTTTAACATTTCATTTTATTTATTCATTATGTTCTTTTGATTTAGCAAATTAGCCACCAGCATCCCTTAAACCATTGGCTAGATTGACTAGAGTTCCTTAGCTTTTAACAAGCATATAAATTATATTTAGGCTTCCTAGACAGCTCCTCACTTATCTTGTCAGTGCATAATGCATTTTCATATCCTGAACAGCAGGAGAAAAATGCAGTCAGAAGGAAGTTAATTATTATCTGTCCACCTATTGGCTGTTGAAGAGAATAACATGATGTTATTTTTTTTTCTGTAACTTTCATACAAATTTTATACAAGTCAGCTCTTGGTGTTAAGCATACATGAGTGATGGTGGCTTGCTAGAAACCCAGAGTAATTGTGAATAACTGGTAGTAAACTCCAGTAATTTGGGCAAATGTTTTCCTGTTGTAAAACACTCAAGTACAGTGATCAGATGTGAAGTGGCTGGGGAAAACCAACAAATAAATAAATAAATAACAGTTCTGGTAACATGGTACCCCCATGGAGGAAGTAAGGAGTAAAGCTTCAGAAGACAAGAAGGCAAAGTCTGAAATGACAGAGAAGGTAGAAAAAACAATTTAGATAATCCTGAGAGCTTTAAATGGACTTTCTCCACCTTTTTTTAACCAATTCAGTAAAAAAGACTTAATACGAAGTTTAGGAGAACAAGACCAAAGTCACAATGAAAACTGAAGCAGGCAACATCAAAGTGAAATAATAACAAGTTTTTTTATTAAATTTGAAGATTAGAACACAGTTTCACACAGTATAAATGGGACATTATGGGCATTTGGAAAAAAAATAATAATCCTTCAATATGGCTGGAATTGCAAGAGTCTATAGTACAATTCTAAAGCTTCTTATATTTTTACCATGGAAACAAAGTTTTGACACAGAAGAGTTGCCACTGGGTTTGCAGAGAGTTTCCTTCCACTGGCAGTATGCAATAATTTTATACTAAGAACCCTACCTCAAATCAGTGTTAAATCTGCATTCTGTAAATGTAAGGTTTTTATCATAATGCAGATGTCAAACCAGAAAATGATAAACTTGTTGAATTTATAAATTAGGCTTTAAGAAGTATTTTTCCAAGAAATATTCCCAATTACATGTGATTTATAAAGAATGTAGCAATGTCAGAAGTATAAGTGGGGCTTTGAGTAGTTAACCTAGGACATTTTAGGGCACTGTCTGCTCCTTTCCCCTTGTAGAAGATGCTTCAGTGTTTCACTGCCTGACCTGTCTCTGTACACCCGTACAGCAAACACAGCCTCTGCAATGTGAACAGTTTCCTTGCCATTGTACAACTGATGGAATATTTTGGCATTGATATTTCTGTATAGTATTTTATCTAATGGGTCATTCATTTTACAAGACTAAAATTGAATTACTATTTTTTTTCCTTGTCTGCTTTGCTGCTTGGGGAGAGCCAGTCAATCTGCATGAAGCAAAGGGAGCAGACAAAGCTGAGAGCTGATGTCTCAGAGAGGTCCACCTAACAAAAGACAAAAATCAAAGTAATGTACTGTGAAGTGTGTTTGGCAATGCTAGATTCCCATTTTCACTGAATAATATAATAGGAGACAGGGAAATTCTACCACTAAATGGAGAAGTAAAATCCTTAACACTGTATACCTTCTAATTTATATTGCAAAACAATGGATTTCTTTACATTAAACTTGATACTTTTAACACTTCATTTTCCCTGCAAAGGTCTGATCTGGTCCAAAGTTAACTGCAGGATATATACTGGCTCAGAAGTATGCTTCCAGATCTGGAAGGAAATATTTTGGAGATTAATATTTGCTGTTTGTGAATTACTATCTTCAGTTTTTTGGGAAACAGTCCAAAGCAGCCCCGGTAGGAAAAGTCAAGATTTGCTAAATCTGGTTCCCATGTGAACAACACCTTGCAGCAGAATCTTGCTGCCGGGGAAAAATATTTGACATTTGATAGATCACTTTATTAATTTAATATTCTGATTACTTTTTTTTCCTTATATTTTAGCCACTTGCTGGAAGCTTTACTCTGATTTGACCTTGGTCTTAAAGGTTGACATCGACTAAGCAGTCTTAACATGATCTGATATACACCAAGTTCTATACACTACAGGAAGACGGGAACACTTCCATACCTATAGTGTCTTTAGATATAGAAAACAGAAAAGGTAAGCATTAGTTGATGACACTATAGAAGGGAGAATTTTTCTTCATCAGGCACAAGCCCATGTTGATTCTGCAAACAGCAGGTAGCTTAGCACTCTGAGAACTCATTACAGAAGTGCTAACTATTAGCTCAGTGGGAAGCCACTGTAGATCTGCGGCTACAACCCCTTTCCCTGGGATCACGGGAACACTCATTGCCATGTCTCTTGTTTATTCCCAAAGAAAAGGTTGGAGAATCTGCTTCCATATATTTAACTGCTAACATAATCACTATCATTTGTGTGGAGCCAGAAGACTCCAACAGTATCTGGCTAAGGATACATTATAGAAATGGCCTGTCCCTGAAGGGCTTCTACTCTAAGTGTTAGCACCAGAGACAAGCAGCTAAAGAAAGAAAACCAGTAACATCGAATAAACAAAAAACAGATGGAAGTTAGTTGAGAGAGAGAACAGGGCATTAGCTATGAGCAGCATCATATACAATAAGCACAACTGCTCATAGATGAATATCTAATTTATAAATATTCTATGAATACTTTTCATTTGATTATCCATTGTCTCCTTGCTTACATGAAATGGCCTTTCTTGATATGGAGAGCTTCTCTGAGCTACCCCATCTTCATTCAGCCTGTCATTTCACAATATAGGGAAGCCTATTTTTTACTTTTAAAATTTCTTACTTAGGTGAACTCATTGCACTATAAATGCATGCATGGAATTGTATGCACAAACTCAGCTTTATAACTGGGGACATTTTAAAATTACAGACCATAGACTAAATATATACAGAATTTCATACCCAGGAATGAAGAGTATGCTTGATAAGACAGGCTGGAGAGCAGAGTAAACACAAAAACTTGGAGTGGTTCAAACTGCAGAGTTCCAGTTATTTGGTTTTGGTAGGAAATGAAACTGAGACCTCAAAACTTTGCCACAAACCTATATTCAAGTGATAAATCAAACTAAAATTGACTGGATGCTATACTACATGCCCTCAGGACCAGAAAGTAAGCCCTGCTCCATGCCGTTTATTAGCATAGAAGTAAATAATTAAACATCCCTCACAGTGGTGGAAGAACCTTCTCTTGCTGATGTTTTTTGAAGCTGAAATAGCAAAAAAAGCAGAAATCCATCTTGATAACAAACACAAGTACACACACCCACATATGATCAGGAGACAGCAAAGGGGCAGATGAATAACTTGAGTTATGGTGAGGATATTTTTCAGATAGTCATTATAATAATTATTATTGTTATTAATAAAGTATTTTTATTTTAAATTATTTATTATTATTATTATTTAGTTTATTATTGAGATTGTTGCTGTTGTTATAGTCAGAAAACCAATGGAAATTTTCTATATTACCTTCCCTTCCAGACATTCATTATTAAGATTCTATCAATGGACTAATATAATGCAAATATTCCATTTTTAATACAACTTTGTGAATTTCTAAAATATATCAATTCACTTCTGTTTTTTTCATGTAGTGCTAGCAAAAGAAAGGTTTGAAAAATAAGTTTCTAGCTGTTTCTGTTAAATTGCAGCTATACTTGCCTCTTATCCAAAACACCAGATACTTTCCTTTCAGCTTCCATTTTCACAGCTGACTTTTAGATTTAATTAATTATCCATATACTTTAGGATGGCCTATCTGCAGGTTGCCTTAATGTGATACACAAGTGCCTTGCCAAGTGCTGATGCCATCAACAGAGAACCCTCTTGTCACATTCTCCACCAGGTCACTGATTTACAATAAGCAACAGTGGGCTGGGCACAGATCAAGACAGTGGGATTTAACACTGATATCCTGATTAAAAAATCATTAATAGCAACAATTCCTTGATATGAAAGCTATTTTTTTATTAATTACAATATACTTTATGTACTACTACACAATACTTGGCAGTTAGCTTTTTCTTGAAAGTGTGAATAAATATTGTCTGCTTTTTCCCTGTCTACACTTACAGGCAACTTCACAAAGATAATGAATCAATCAGCAGTGTCCTAGCTTTCTACTTTTAATAAAATTCTAAAAACAGTGCCCTATGATATTTCTTAGCTTCATCAAAATTATTATACCTAAACAAGAGTTCATATTTACAGGAAGATAATATGAACATACAGTAATAATTGCTGAGTATTATTACCACCTCCGTTTAAATGTCATTGCTCACTGGATAAATAACTATTCCCTCCTGATTAGGCTATTAAAAGGTCATCATTTGCTTTAACCAATCTACAAGTAGTTCCATACATAATTAATTTATACAGTTATAATTATAAACTTATAAAAGATGTTTTTCTCATAAACTATGCTTTTAAAAGAAATGTTTAATTATAGTATTCGGATGTATTTGAAGACTTAATATATAGAACCTACAGGAGTTTGTATCCACATAAAGAGAACGCAATAAAAATGGTTACATATGGTAGCACTTAGGTATTCATTTTAATTCTTGTAACTTAAAACACTATTATTAACTGCTTTTGGGTATCATATCCTCTCCATTTCATAGTATTCCCTTTCCTTATTATTAGAGGTAGTTCAAGAGCAATTACAAGATTTATCAAACAGATCAGCCTTATTCCTGGTCAAATAAAAATCAACTTTTTTTTTACCCCCCATCTCCCATGAAGTTCTGCAAACCCTTGCCAATATTTCAGCTGACAGTGACTGCCAAAGTCACAAGATTGAGCAACAAGTCTCTTTGGGTAACTACATCAAATTCAGCAGATCCATTGTTTTCAGCTAGGATGAGGGAAGAAAAGGAATAAACAGATTTGGAGATCAAAAGTTCCAAGAGAATTCAAAGTTCCATCACTATAAAACAAACTTACTTGGATGGAACTCCATTTCAAGGCAGCTTTCTAATACTTTTATTCACAATCTTGAAGTTATTTATCACTACAACAACACTGAATAAAGGAACTGATTAAAGTCCATTTTGAAGTTGGAGTGCTAATTAACAAGTTCATGGTCACACAAACATGCAGCAGAGCAGAAGCTCTGACACAAGTGACTCAACTCAGAGGTTTATACTTTATTCAAGGACTTCCCATTCTTAATGTTAGTAGATTCTGTTCCTAATTCTTATCAGTGTAACATTAGCAAACACAACAGTTTTGAATTCTTTACCTTTAACTCCTTGTTCCTAATTACATGCAGATAGATGGAGCAGCTATTCCTCAAGAGAGTTTATGAACTTGAGATGTAATTAAACCTTTTTCAGTTCTATTTTGCTCTAATGTATGATACAGAGATCAGTACACAGAAAGAAATCAGTCAGTGGAAAAAATAAAATGGAAATCTCTGCTGAGCCCTGGGGGAAACAGCTGAAAGGCAGGAGTTACAAATTAGTTTATAGAAAGATAAATGTTCACCTGAGGATAAAGCACTGGGGACGCTGCTCCTGGAATAGCATGTGGTAAGCTCTTTCAGCACAGGAAAATATATGTGGAGGAAGCGAGGAACACAGTTTTCCAGAGTTACTCAAATAAAGCTGGGTGACCTAAAAAATTGTAAAAAAGTAACACAGTCAATACATTACAAACTAATTATGTTTCAGCCCTCCTAATCCTGGGTCTTTTTGTAAAGCTAATGATTATGAACAGAATCTCTGTATGTATATATGTAGTATCATTAAAGTAGCTATGAAGAGTTTAATTAAAGAAAACAGAGCTGTAAGCATTGAAGATTTAATTAAGATGTAAAATCAAACATAACCAAAACACTCATCAATACTGGCTTGTTTGCTGATTAAAACAAAATCTACTATATTACTTTTTTATACCTCACATTTATTGTTCTTCAATGTGTTGACTTAAAAATCTTACAAAATGAAATATGACCATCCCTTGAAAAGTTAAAATGGAAATAAAAGGCCTAAGTTACAAACAAATTCATTTATTGCATGACAGAGCAGTTTCCCACAAATATAGAATAACTTCTGTGACATATAGAGATGCAACTTGTACTCTCCTTAAAGCTTAAACATGAGTAGAAACAATTATTTGCTACTGAAACCTCATTTTTGAGGCTATCCTGATTTTTTTTCAGGTAATATCAAGCAGATTTTTGAAAAAAAATAGGCTGCTAATATCTACTTTTTTTTTTTTCCTTTCAGAAGAAATAAATATAATAAAGACAATAGAAAATGTGATTTAGATAAAATTGTGGACAGAAACACTATACCATCTTCTTACAGATATCCTTAAATAGTTTTACTTACCTTTTCATATGCTTTTTGTCAGACCTTCTCATGGGCTTAGAAAATTAACATAGGCTGTACAGAAACCTATGGCAGCTGGGGTACAATTGGAAGACTATGAAGCATCTTGAATGCTACTGGATGCTGACAATTAAAACAACCAAATACCTTCCTTTTAATCATGTCCTGTTTTCTCCAACAATTCTAACAGCTTTTCCACCTCAGTGCCATTTTTTATTTGCTCCTTTCTCCAAACTAATCAAGTGCTTATCAGCTCTACCTGTCCTGTATCTGTCTTTTTTATTTAGATGTTAAATTATTGAATCTACAATGCTGTGGATGAATGAATCCTCCACAATATGGTCTTATTCTCATTCAGGCTTCTGAGCTACCAAACTAAACACGATTAAATCCACAATGATTCTTGAGGAATTATTTCACCATGTCACAAAGCAGAAAGTAAAACCTTCACATACTTATTGCAAGTGCTTTGTAAGTTTACATATTTTTCTAATACATGAACTTCAAGAATGTATTTGTCCTAACCAAACACAAATAAATTCTGCACAAAGGTAAAAAAGGAGGGTGACTACAGCACATCTCTGAAGTGGCATTTATGTTTTCCAAGAATTATAGTTCTACCATAATGTATAACATGGTAGTATAGCATATTTACATATTAAAGTGCATTAATATTACCATTTAGCAATTGCACTGCTAATTACAAAGCAATGTATATCAGTGCCCATTAACATGTGGCTCCTTATGTCCTCTCAGAGTGAATAATTACTCAGAAAAAGATGTATTATAGTCACATTCTATTGGAAAGAAGTGTGGGAAGCCAGTATAAGCTAACAAAATAAAGATTGCCCAGAAGCTATTAACAGCGTTCTTAACAAAGAGAAGAAAACCTGAAGTGTCACTGTTATTGAAAAATGTACATTAAAATCTCATTGCTTCATCCTGGCATTAAAAATGTTATCATGCCCAATATATCTTTGCATTCTTTTTTTTTGATGGCTAACAAACCACATACCTGAAACAAAAAAGTTCACTAATGAGCCACATCTTATAGCACGTCAGTGTCCAGTGAGGAACTGACATAATCAATTTTTATTACTTTAACATACAGACCATCTAGCACTTTCAGACTTTGATACCAGCTAAAGTGCTGCAATATATTTGAGCATTCCAAAACCAGAGAAAACAAAGCTATTTTACAACTATGTTTTTTTTTTGTTTTCTGTTTTTTTTTTTAATCTTCTAGGAAATACCTGCTAATGCTCAAATCCAGGCAGATAATGATGGAGTAGAAGCAATGATCATCCTAGGTGACCCAATTACAGGACAAAAAGTGTCTCATGTTAAACTTGCTAAAATAGATCTGTCACAGAGAGAATAAGAGAAGAGGTAGCAATGTTCAGGAAACATTTTAATATGTAAGCCTACCATCTAAATTCTTTTTCTTTACTGTTCTCTCTTGTTGCACAAAATTATATATCTAATGTAAAAAACACAGTGACAGATATTGAAACAACAAACCCCTTGGAAATAACTAGTCTATCTCATAAATTCATAAGTGAGAGATTAGAAAGGTAAGGGTACTAGTATTCAAGAGAGAAACATCTGAAGCGCTTCCTAAGTGGCCTTGTGCTTATGACAGTGCACACATGGACTCAAGTTCCCATTGTCCCATTGTTCCCATGGTGCCTGTGCCCAGCAAGAGTCACCTCTGTACAACTGCTCAGCGTGGTGATAAGTTCATGCTGAGCACCTTGCACTCATTGCCTTTACGGTATCTAACTGAGTGGCCTGGTGTGGAGCACAGGTATTTTCAGCCTTTCTGCACCACTGAAGGTCGTTACCTCTGTATTCATGTTTTGGACAAGGTGGAGTGTGAAATCAAACAACCACTGCATGAAATATGCATCTACTTTTGCAAGTTTAGTTGTGGCAGAAACGACCAAGGTACATCAGAAGACTATACTTAAACAACTGAAAATGCTACTGCTCACACAAAACATTAGCCAGATGGCTGTTTTACAAATAAGAAACAGAAAAAAGAGTGGTATCTTGGAAGAAAGTAACAGTTTTTTGCTAGAATTTTCAAACTAATATGCTTCCAACATAAAAAGGGCATGTATGTTAATTAATTTTACAGGTTTGGCCTTCCAAATGAACTATATGAATCCAGCGAAAAAGAACCACACTGTAACATTTTAAAGAGGAGAATTCTTACCATGGTAGAATAAATAGGAAGTTCTTTAAATGGATTAACAAGCAACAGTATATCACCAATGTAGGTCTGAAAAAAGAAGATATAATTGCTGTATTAAGTAATAAATTAAATGTTTAAGGAGGGTAATGATTTTCTTCCAGAAATGACTCTTGCAGAACCTTTTAAATCTAGCTATCAACATATTAAAGATAATCCAAAAATTTAGAGCTTTTAACTACATAACTTTAAATTGAGATCTAAATTTACAATTCAGATAGCATTAATTATTCTTTTTGTGATAAAACTGAGTTCTTCATCATGTAAAATTATGCACTGAAGAACTGCACTGCATATATTACTGGTAGATTATTTGAAAGTTAATTTGCAATTCACTATTTGTTAAACTACAAAAATGTGACACGCCACATAAATAAGTTTCTCAAGCAGTTTTTTATGGGATCAATGACAGGATTCAGAAATGCTACATTGATTACCCAGAACTGATAAATTAAAATATATTGCTTGTGGGATAAGACAGAGGAATGGATACATATATAAGCACTTAAACATGTATATGCGTATTTGAGCATATGTAGATGCATAAAGAAATAAATCCTGGGTATATTAAAAATAGCAAACCAACTACTGATTAGAAAGGTGCCAAATTTTTATTTAAACACTTCTATGTGAAAGATGTGTTTGAGTATGAGATTGTAGGTCACCCCTGCTGCTATACTCCTCACTCCACATAGGCAGCTGCTGCTGTACCCTGTTCTTGGGATGCAGGGATGCCAGAGACATGTCTTGGAAGAGGGCAGGCAGCAAATCATCTTGTAAACAGCCCCAGTCATGCTGCCTTTTTCAAAATAAAGTATTTTGATCCGGGGAAGAGCAAAATACTGCCTTCCATAGTAAATGTACTACTTTTCTTCCAAAATGCAGTAAATTATTTCCTCTGTCTCCCCTACTCCAACTTCACTGTTGGGTTTTGCTGCAGAATAGAACTTCATTAGTTTGCTGAAACATGAAACAGGATGTGTTCAGTGCCAAGAAGGGTTTTGGTTTGGAATTGGAGTCCAGTGAGTCCAAGTCTTTTGTTGAGCCTGGAGCATAGAAGGCTCCAAGGAGACCACAGAGTGGACTTCCAGTACCTGAAGGGGGCCTACAAGCAAGTTGGGGAGGGATTTTTTACAAGGGGTAACAGATTAAAACTGGATGAGAGAAGATTTATGTTAGACATCAGAAAGAAATTCTTTAGTGTGAGGGTGGAAAAGGTTGCCCAGAGAAGCTGTGGAAGCCCCCTCCCCAGAAGTGTTCAAGGCCAGGTTGGATGGGGCTTTGAGCAACCTGGTCTAGTGGGAGGTGTCCCTGCCCATGGTATGGTGATTGGAACTAGATGATCTTTCAGGTCCCTTCCAACCCAAACTATTCTATGATTCTAAGACTCTTGAACTCCTCAAAGAGGAGGTGGGAGACCTGCATGGATGAGTAAGGGTCTACTGGAAAAACTCAAATGGAAATTTACATAATATGGGAAACAAGACTGGCCACTTGGAAGGAATATAGGAATGCTGTCAAGAGGATGCAGAGATGCAACAAGGAGTTACTGAATGCCTTCTTTGCTTCAGTCTTCACTACTAAAGCTGTCCCTCATGAATCCCAGGCTCTGGAGGCAAGGGAGAAGGTCTGGAGAGAGGAAGAGTTTCCCTCAGTAGAGGAGGACCAGGTTAGAGACCACTAAGCAAAACTAGACATCCATAAACCCATGGGCCCCAGTGGGATGCATCCACGACTGCTGAGAAAGCTGGCTGACGTTATTGCTGAGCCACTCTCCATCATCTTTGAGAGGTCATGGAGAACAGGAATGGTGCCTGAGGACTGGAGGACAGCCAGTGTCACTGCAGTCTTCAAAAAGTCTTCAAATAATTCTGGATGTCATCTCTAAACACGTTGAAGAACAGGAAGTTACTGGGAATGGTCAGGATGGATTTACCAAGGGGATATCATGCTTGACGAATCTCATAGCCTTCTATGATGTTATAACTGGCTGGATAGATGAGGGAAGCACAGGGGTGTAATCTACCTTGACTTCAGCAAGGCTTTTGTCACTGTCTCCCATAACAGGCTCATTAAGAAACTCAGGAAGTGTGGGTAGATGAGTGGATAGGGAGGTGGATTGAGAGCTGGTTGAGTGTCAGAACAGGGTCAAGTCAGACACCTGTAGCCAGTGGTGTTCCCCAGGGGTCAACACTCAGTCTGGTCTTGTTCCACATATTCATCAACAACCTGGGCGAGGGGACAGAGTGTATCCTCAGCAAGTTCACTGATGTACCAGACTGGGAGAGGTGGCTGACACTCCAGAGGACTATGTTGCCATCGAGTGTGACCTGGACAAGCTGGAGAGCTGGGCAGAGAGGAACCTAAGAAGGTTCAACAAGGGCAAGTGTAGGGTCCTGCACCTCGGGAGGAAGAACCACATGCATCAATATAGGTTAGGGGTGGACCTGCTGGAAAGCAGTTCAGAGAAGGATCTGGGAGTCTTGGTAGACAGCAAATTATCCATGAGCCAGTAATGTGCCCTTGCTGCCAGGAAGGCCCATAGAATCCTGGGGTGAGTAGGGAAGACTGTGGCCAGTAGGTTCAGGGAGGTCATCCTCCCTCTCTACTCTGCCCTAGTGGGGCCACATCTGGAATACTACATCCATTTCTGGGCTCCCCAGTTTAAGAGAGACAGGGAACTACTATACAGAGTCCAGCAGAAGACAACAAAGATGACTGGGGAATTGTAGCATCTCCCTTATGAGGCTAGGCTGAGAGAGCTGGGACTCTGTAGCCTGGAGGAGAGAAGGATGAGGGAAGACCTTATTAATGTCTAGGGCGAGTGTAAGGAGGATGGAGTCATACTCTTTTCACTAGTTCCCAGTGACAGGACAAGGGGCAATGGGCACATGCTGGAACACAGGAAATTCCATTTAAACATGAGGGAAAACTTCTTTATGATGAGGGTGACAGAGCACTGGAACAGGCTGCCCAGGGAGGTTGTGGAGTCCCCTTCTCTGGAGATATTCAAGACCTGCCTGGATGCAGTCCTGAGTAATGTGCTCTAGGGGATCCTGCTTTAGCAGGTTTTTGCTCTAGATTATCTCTAGAGGTCCTTTCCAACTCTGATGATTATATGATTCTCTGACTTTTCCTTCAAAGTCTGAGAGCCAAATCAACCAAAAATGCAAGGGATGCATCAGATGCTGACACTCTACTAAAGCACAATGGTTGCTGTTGAGCAGAATATTAATGATTACTGCCTCTAAATTTCCATTAAGCTAAGGAGGATGACAAAGCAGGGTGTGAGATAAATCTTCAGTATTTTAAAATAAAATACTTGATTTTTATAAACACTGAGTATTTGTTCAACTTCCAGAATTTAGTTAGTTATCCGTGTTTGGCATTTTTTAAATGGAGACAAAGCTCCATTACTCCATAAAGTAAATGCTGATAATAAAGTAGGATTTGATCCATGGTTCTTAAAACCAGAATTAACTAAATGCCATAACAGCTAGAACAGAAGTTCCCAGAATTTCAAAGTTATTCACAGCAACATGCCAATTCTCCATATTCCTTTAGTCTAAACAGTGGGATCAACTTACACATTTTAAAATCATTTGCATGTTTCAAATTAGCATGCCACTCAGCTGTTCAGTAAGTTAGAAATAAGTTGTGAATGAGATATGAACGGGAATGTCAAAATTTTCAAGTGCAGATTTTTCTCCAGAAGTAATCTGTGCCTAACTGGATACCAGGAAAAACTGCATTACCAAAACCTTGCTCTAATTACTACATTTACTATATAGATGATTAACATTACAATGTAATGATTTCTGAAATGTAGGAATAGATAACGAGTAATTAAATCTCCCATGCTGAATTCTAAGTCATTTAAATATAAATTTATTTTAAATTTCCAGTAATCATGTGGTCTATTAAAATTAACACATTGTGAAGGATGGAAGAATCCTTTAATAGTTTGGGAGGGAAGATTACATGTGCCCATATTTTTTACCAGTACACCTGTTCTGTGAAATAAACACACAGAAATTTTATCCAAACCTATCTGAAGTGTTATTCCATTTTTAAATTTCTGTATCTTCCTATATAAACTTGAGAAACTGCAGGGCTCACACACACATATATCCTGATCCATTTAAATATTAGTTATAAGTCTGGAGCAGGTTACTATGTAGTACTTATGATAGTATTCCTATTTTTCCTATTGTCTCATTTGCTCTTTTTTGAAAGCCTACTGTTGACAGATGAATAGCAACTCACATATATCTGGTTATTATTGAAACGTTTCTGAATCTCATAAAGCAGGCTGCTGTCTGTTAGCTCACTCAGGGAAGCTAGGTCATCATTTGGGGCTGGAGGCATCAGCTTAATCTAGAAACAAAAAGAAAAAAAAGAAAAGTAAGATAACTTCACAACCAATCATTTTGTACTCAATGTTACAATCTCAAGTCTAGACCTAGATCACTAGAATTTAGGGGGGAAAAAATGCATTAGGAAACTGGAAAGGTGTCACTCCTCTCAAACAGTTACGCATCATTAATCTTCAGAACTTCAAAAATTATTTTAGATGTTAAGATGTAGAACTGAATGAGTCTAATGGGCTCTTAAGAACATAGACCCATACTAAAATGCAATTGTTATCCCTGAAACCCAGCTCAAAAGCAATTTTTCTGCTCTCTTCAATAAATGTTTATGGCAGGAGAAATCAAGACTATGAGAGTTAGGGTGCTTGTAAACTATTTATTGCACAGTATTTAGCAAAGCTCTCATACTATTCTACAGGATTTAAAATGCTATTGGAATTTTTCCTGAAGAATGGAAGTTAATAAGAAGTGGGAATCACATTGTCAGGGAGAACAGATGAGATTCAGAAGTGGCTACTTTAGCGAAAACTGGAGAATGAAATCTGCTTAACAATTCTGAGATTTAAGAGGAATAATATAAGCTCTGGAAAGTACAGTAATGCTAAGGAAACCAAAGCAAAATCCAAAAGACAGAACAAGAGACAGAAGAATCCCATGTTGGGGGGAGGGGGGGGTTGGAACTAAATAATCTTTAAGGTCCCTTCCAACTCATATGATTCTATGATATGATGAAGAAAAAAAAAAGTCAATGATAAGGAAAATTGCTTAAAGACAAAATAAACATTGATACATTAAGCAATGTGCTTATCTACACTTAAAATGTAGATTGATTCTTTTTTTATGTCAGCCCAAAGAAAAACATCTTTGCACTTCTTACAATGGAAAATTCTCATGTGATCAATGGTAGAATTACTTGAATTCTTTGTTCATAGTTTATCAAATTACTCTTTTGGTGTCTGTTTTGAGGATGGCAACAAAGATGAAACTTCTTTGTTCTGCTTAATATGAAGGCTCAGGAGAACAGCAGATGCTACCCTTTCTTGGAGAACAACTCGGCATCCTCAGCCTCTGCCAGTGGCACATGACAGAAGCTGCAAGTGGACTGGGAGACATTGGAGGGAACATGCAAGTGTGCTTCTGGCAAGGAGAAGACCCCAAAGATTATGGATACTTGTGAACTGATCCCAAACTACTGAACTTCCATTGCTTCCACAGGCTGAAGGTCTAGTTCAAAAACACAGTGCTTTGGGTTCTCTTTCTACACTTGCAGGATCAGCACTATGTGATATTGCTGAAGAATTTCATCTTAGCAAAACAAGACTCGTATCATCTCTTCATCTCGCTGTTTCAAGATTCTTGAAACATACATGCAAACACATGTTCATATGCAATTTTGTAGGTGACCATCAGAAAACACCTTGAAGTGTGTACTTGTAAATAAGTAGGATTAATTAGAGGTTTCACATCTAGTTTAAATAATAGATTTTTGACCCTATCAATATTTTTCTTCTGAAAACAGGAGTATTGAAAACCAGTATCAAAATATTCAGCAAACAGTCATAAAACAGATGGTTTGCTTACTCTTCTGTTTTACCAAGAAGAAACAAATTATGCACAGCAGATATCACAAGGACAGAACCACTAGCCCTTATGACACAAAACAGAATCTTGCTGTTTTTTTTCACCAACTCCACTTCATACTTCATTTTACACTAAATATTATACCTTTTATGTATGGAGGGCAAACTTCTACACTTTTCTGTACTTCAAGCTCTGTAGCTATTACTGCTTTTTTTTTTTTTTTTCTTTTTTCTTTTTATTGGAATAGATCCATCATGGAGATTTTCACAACAACACTGGGAACTTCAAGAAACTTCCATTTTGGGACAGACACAGTGACTGAAACAATCAGTGAACATCTTTAGTCTTTAATAATTTCCTTACTCTTCCCCTAAAGAGAAATACATTCTGTAGAAAATAATGCTTAAAACAAGTATATGAGGAAACAGGCAAACTCCTCACAGAAAGCTGTCTCCTTTTTTTAACAGCTCTACCAACAGGCAATAAATATTGATGACTAAAATGGCATATGTAAATCTCATATGGATGTAAAAGCATGAATATTAGCAAGAGATTTTTAAAGCTTTTCCCATTCATCCACTAAAGCAGGAAAGGCAGACATCTGTAACAGATACCGAGCTAGACATAAACTAGTGACCCATAAAAACTGTAAGGAAAATGTTACATTAGGTCCAGATGTACTAGAAGCATAACTGTACAGGGACAAGAAGGAAGTAGTGCCCCATCACACCTTACAGATGCTATTTCTTTCTTTCATCGTAAAAAATGTGAAAAAATACCTCTCATTCCATTAAGCCCAAAAAGCAAAAAATTTGCAAATGCCAAAGATTAAGTATGTCAATGAGATTATTTACTAGATGTACTACATATACCATTTGTGCATGTAAATTGAACAATGTACTTTCCCACAGTCCTCATCTCACTGATTTGTATTTTTCAGATGAGATGTGCTCTAAAACGTTGTAGTCCATCAAAATGTTACTGTGAATTTTCTCCTTTCTCCTGTCTATTTAAAATCATTCTTGAAGTATTCTTAAAGAAAGCAGAATAAAAGTTTCGAGTAAGACAAACATACACAGGTTGCCTGCTATATCTGCCTGTATTTTTCTGTCTGCCGATTCTAGAGGTTTATTTCTCACCTCATTAAAAAAAATGCAGAGCTTTATGTCACATAGAAGATGTCTTCTTGCTCGTTTTGTTTTTAATCATAGCAGTTGGATGTAAGGCTGGCTGGCAACAAAACAAGAATTCCACTTGGCAAAAAAAAAAGTCAATGACATTTTAGTGTTTGTTTTTAATGATACACATGGCAATTGAACAAAATGAACAAAAGAATTCCAAAGCCTAGTTGAAGTTTCTTGTAGAGGGAAAGCAGATGAAAGACAGAAGCCCATGACCTCCTTCCTTTTATTAGTCTGCTCACTTGGCTTGCAGGAACAAAGCAGCCAGAGGTCTTCACTATATACTCCCTTGTGTCTTAGCAAAACTCGGAACACCTGTGCCAGAGAATGAGCTTCTCTTTATCTAACTCTATAAAGATTAAACCTGCTCTACACTAGAAACAAATGTCTTTATTTGTAAATAAAATAAGGGTTTGGATTCAAGCACTGTCCTGATTATCTCCATATTTTCTGAACTATTAGCATACTTCCTCTTACATTCTTGGCTCATGCCAGGTAGCACTCCTACAGAGAACACCTGCGTATCACTCTGATGACATTCCCATGGACATTTCCCATAGGCTATTAGGGCACAGCCTCATTTTTGAGGGACAAAATAGCCTTGTTCTATGGATGTGCACTGACCCATCCCACATATCCCTAGGTCTTGGCTTGTTTTATTTCATAATCGGGATACATCCAAAGATACTGACTCTATAGACAGACAGTTAGAAACTTGGGGTTAAACTCCAAGTAAGGGAATTGAAATATTTTTCCATTCACTTTTTTTTCTATGAAATTTAGGATTTGGTGATTCAACACTTTCTAACACTCTTTGTATCAAAATTCACACCTCAAGCAGCAAATACATTATAAATTAGAGTCTCTAAATGCATTAAAGTCACAACAGATTTGACATGGTAGAAAACTTTATTTATATTATTAATAACTTATTTGTGGGGTCCATCAAATTCTATTTTCTCATCTATTTTTCTGAGTACAAGAGAAGTTTTCCAAAAACTCATACAAATGCATTTTTTCTAATTTTTTGCCTCGATGCATATTTCTGGCTACCACACTGATTGCACAATGCAGATTTCATGAGGCATAAAAAGAAAAATAGCCATAAATAGAGCTTAAGTCCCAATATAACTATGTCTCCGGAAGTTACTAGTTTTTTGATCTTTTTGTAATGCTAACAATGAGGATTCCTATTTACTCATTTAATTTACATATACTTAGCATTCACAATCTGCATAGATACTAATCTCTAATGGTTTTTATTTTTTAAAATGCTTATTTCACTTAGATCAGTATGTATTCTAGCTCTTATGGGTAATACTATGATATACAGTCTCTTGTGCCTGTGGTGGTACTAGAAAAATAAAAATAGCATCAGGGGATACTCTATTACATAGTTCACATGGCTAACAATATATAAGCAATTATAAGTTAAAGACAAAATATATAAAAAAAAAAAGACCCAATTAAGAAGAAGAAAATATTCCATCTTTATTTGTTTGTAGCATGAAGCACATAATTCAATTTCAGGGCTGTAATTTTAATCTGCTATCAGAAAAATATACTTCCCAGTTGAGAGGAAGAGAAATTGCCAACTACGATAAAATTCTGGAAATTATTCATACTGCTTTCTTTGTTTGGCAGCACAGACTTTGACATTACAGATGCTCAAAGAAAATCTTGTACCTAGGAAAAAGGCAAAGGCTAATACAAGCCATGAGAGACCCAAAATACTTTATCAAAGTAGTCATTTGATCCCCATTTCCTGTGCTTCATGCTACAAAAATCTTACTTCATGAGAAATAATATTTGGTTAAGGCTCTTTTTCATTACTTTTACAATTAAAAAAACCTGAGGCTAAATATTAATTTGAGCTGTTATTTTTCTCAAAGCCAAAAAATTACAAGCTTTCTCTATTAAAAATGCATGTTTCAGATGCAGTAAGATGAAATTTTTCTCTCCGATCTCCCAGTAAAGGTCTGATCTGCATGCCATATTGCCTAAGAATGTATGAAATTTCTTACACAGAGTATAGGAAACCATGCTGATCTATTTCAATAATATACAAACATAAAATCCAAGTAATGACTCCACATACCCTATTGAAAAAATAAACAGTACATAATTACTTTGAACGGAGTTTGGAATACAACTGGAAATAAGAAAAGATAGAGAAACTCATTAGAATTAGTGTACCCAAGAAGCAGAGAGGGGAAAGAGATTGTTAAAAGCTTTCCTCTGGTATCAGCACTAAATTAAATTTTTACTTCTCACTTTAAAATTTTACTTTTCTGCTCATTGTGAGCAGTATGTTTACATTACTGCACCTCAGCTGTAAAAAGCTGAGACTTACCAAAAAAACACAACCAAAAATCATTAGCAAGAACATCATGAAACAATAAATACTTTTGACAGAAGTCCAATTTCCAGGATCACAATTTTTTCACTTCAAAAAAGAAAAAAATGTTGAATATATTTTCAATTGTCAAAGCATGGGAATTCTTCAGTTTAATAAAATTAAACTATTTCCTGAATTGATTAAAATGCTTTACGTGCTTTTGTCCATGAGAGCCAAAACTTATTAAGCCCTTCCCAACTGAAAAATTCAGTTAATCCATAATTATTTTTTTTTTAATTCAACCAGTCATTTAAAAACACAACAGAACATAAGATACATATTCCTTCTAGTTCACGTAGAGCAGAATTTCAGAGTTTTCTGAAGGAATTTTTCAGCTAATTGAGCTAAATTTGAGGAGCACTGAGTCCTTCAACTGCCAGCACCCCTGAACTGCCAGCACTAGCTGGTAGGAAGCAGCTGTTCAATTTGCAGAGAGGGGACTCGGCAGGGTCAGACTGATTGCAGGGAGTTATCAAGGAGGCAAGTGCAACTGATATTGCCATGTGGTGAGGGAAAAAAAAAAATACTGTGGTCTTCAGTCTCATTAAGTTTACAGTTTCCAGACCTAAGAACTAACAAATATTTCAAGAAACTGCATGCCATTACCTGTTCAAGTTTGGTTGTAGTGTTCACAGTGACATTTTCAGATGCACTGTCTTGAGATTGCTGCTTACATAAACCTTTAGCTGCATCTTTAAACATGGTGTCTTTCTCCAGCAAACTGTCCTGCTTGGCAATAGGTAAAGCCAAGGGATTGCTAAAAAGAGAATCAATAAAGCAATTAGACTCCTGAAGATATCAGACAAAGAAAAGATTGCCAAATGGGGGTGGCACAAACACAGAACTAAGATAGAATTCAGGGCTGAGATATGAGTTCCTGGTCCACAAACAAAAAAGAAATTGCTGAGAAATAAAGTGTTCGTTTAGCTTGGGCTGCTCCCAAACACTTACATTTAAAATTCAGCTTTATGCATAATTTTTTTAAGAACTTGGTAAGCCAAAGAGAATATGCATGAGTCTGCTTTTGACAGCACTAGGCTGGCAAATCAATAGCCAATTTGGAAACTGAATTTAAAATACACAATTAATCTATGTGACACCGTTTTGAAAAATACTATGTTTTAAAATAATTCAATACAGATTGAATTTGCAATTGCAGTTAAAATTAAATTCCACCACTTTTTAGCTTACTTTTAATCAGACAATATCCAATTAATATTTTATGACCAAAAGCTGCCTTGAATTTGTGATATGCTAAAAAAAACAAACCCAAGCAAAGAGCAGACTCTGAAACGTCAACAATACACAAGATTCTGCATTGACGTATAATGTAAACCTAATCTTACACACATGGAGATGTTTTCCGTACCGATACTTCAGACCTTAACATACTTCTGAGAAACAACAATGCCAAAATTGTAGATTATTTTGGCAGTGTTGTATGACCAGAGGGATTAGTGAAGAATCAGTGTCAGGAGCTGAGAACACAAAAATCTTACAAAATAATTGGCCAGGCTCTGACAGTGCAAATGAGACAATCTCATGGAGTGTACAGCAGCTCCCTGCCAAAATGTGTGCATAAATTCTTTGAGAGGAAATGTGGACTCAATGTGGAAATGCGGGAATAGTGCATTTCACCATGGGATAAAGCCCAGATGTCAAACTTAACCAAAAAAATCTCATTTTTACTCAGTTACTTGTGTTTGAGCACTGATTATAATAAAGTCAGGATTATAAACACAGTTTACTCAAATGAAATTAAAAGTATCCATAGCTAACATTTATTTTGATTCAGGACAAGAATTGCTGTTGGAAACTGAAATGCAGATATAGTTTTAGAAAGGTTAAGTCCTAAGCAGAGGCAAAGCACCTTCTACCAAGAGTTCATTGGAAAACAAGTAAAAGCAGCTTAAAAAAATGAAAGAAAAAAACCCACAAAAAACCAAACAAAGCCTTTTAGTTGACTAAACCCTCAGTGTTTTCAGAGTTTCAACACTTTGTAATGATATTTCCAAAAGAATCATAGAATCACAGAATCATAGAATCACAGAATGGTTGGTCTGAAGGGACCTCTAGAGGGCATCTTGTCCACCTCCTCTCCTCAGGCAGGGACATGTAGGGCCAGCTGCTCTGGACAATGTCCACATGGGTTTTGAATATCTTCAAGGACACAGAATTCACAGATTGACAAATACTGTGGTCTTAGTGCATCACTCTTAACAACAGAAAAACTTACAGTTTATTGGTAATTCTGGGCAGATCACGGATGATCTCTTCATATGGCTCTTCTTGAGATAAAGTAGAAACAGCTAAAGGGTCTTTCATTTTTTCATCCCAAACAATTTCAGCCTTCAGAAGCATTTCCGCAATAAACTCAGAAGCTGCAACATCTACGACATTGTAAAACCAAGATATTAGTCAAAGAAAACAGTGCAGAAAAGCACTTTTTTGGTTAAAATCTCTAAATCATATTAAGAGTAAGAAATCAATTAGGTAAAATGAAAATAACAGCTCACATATTGATGTTTTGAACTCAGCATTTCAACAAAAACATGTACTGAAATTAGATTTATGGCCTTCACATACAGAAGCACTGAAATCAGCTGTTTGTAGACCTGAAATAAAGTTAACTCAGGTGTATTAAATACGTACTAAATGCGGTTAGCCAGCTATTTCATAGACTTTTATACAAATATAAACTGGCATGTACCTAACCACGAACAGCTTTCCTGAGGTAGTGTCATGAAGTTCCCTGTGAGTGTATTTGTAGGTGGCACATCATTTAAAGCACAACGTATCTTAGATTTTTATGCAAAGGAAGTTTCTTCTCATCACCTGAGAGAAAGATTCTATTTCCTACATTACTGGATCCCTTCTTAATTTTATCCTTGGCACAGAAGGTTGAATAACCGTGTGTTTCTTCTGTCCAACATTGTTACCTGCATTAGTCCTCCTTTGAGCATTGGGTTAGACCAGTTGATCTGAAGACCCATCCAACCTAATATATTCTGTAACTCTGTTATCTGTAGAGCCAGTCTTTCAGCTCTCTGTTGCTGTTTGGTCTAAGAAGGTGTCACCTTTTCTAGGAAACACCAAGTGTTACACTTGAAAACTGGAGAGTAAGTTTGTTTTCAGTCCATAGCTACAGAGATTCCAGTTCATGAGGCTATGTAGTAAAGGAACTCAGTAGCAAGTCATCAAGGAAGTGTAAATGCAGTTACTATCACGGCACAGAAGAAATTACAAGGAAGAAACATAACTAAAAATAAATAGGAAATGGAACAAATGCAAAAACATGCTATCATTTGATATTACATCTACACGATCATGACTAGCAATTCTCAGCAAAAAATGAAAAAATATACATACACATATGCATACGTGTACATAACTTCACATACAATATAAACTGTATGTATACACATAAGTATATGTGTGCCTGAGTGTGTAACTAAGAAAGCAAGAAGGGAAGAAAACAGTCTCAAAGTAATTAATACATGCATAATATACATGGACTTTCACCTACCTGAAGGCTTTTCATTATTGCAGTTAAGAAGATTGGGATTTGCCCAGTGCATCAAAAGCAGCTTCACAAGGTTTGTCTAAAATGGGTAAAAACAAAGGTATTTTAAATGGAAGAAGTTAGCCAGGAGAAGTATACCTGCTATTCAGTTTGTTCATTCCTTCCTTTATCACAGAGTCATCATAGTTGGAAGGGACTTCTGAAGATCATCTAGTCCAACCCCCCCCCCCTCCAGTAGCTGAATTGGTATGATAAACCATAGGCAACATCTCCAAAATAACACCTTCTGCAATTGGTATAAATCACAAAATGTAAAATAAAATACAGTTCTTGCATGATTGCAGTGTACCCTCAGTATAAGTCCAACCCCAAACTCATCCTCCATCTTTTACACATTAAAAAAATGCACACCGTAAGGAAAAAAACCCAACCCTCCATCACCACTTGTCATGATTAAGATCACAAATATTGCTTTATGCCTAACTAATTCTACAACTGTGTACTATCACTGCCAAAGGGATCTAATTCACAGCCACCATGGAATTAAAACTGTTCACTGTTAGTAGTAGAAATTGGCACATTTATCTTATGTTTACCAAAACCATTTAGCGTATTAGTAATAGTAGCAATTATAGTACAGTAGGGTAGACTAGAGTATCATATAATGGAAACATCTAAAATATATTTTTCACTTCCTGCAATAATGCTGCAAACAATTGTTTTTAGCAAGCTCTTCTATCACTGCACTGAAGTGTCTAGAGGTACTTGTCCATCAAAGGCTCTGGTAATGTCTACCCTGATAAACTGATTGATCAGAAAGGAGTAAGAAACTGCACAAGGAGCAAAAAATACATTTCGAATATGAATATAGAGCTGAATTAGATTAAAGAACTGTCTGCACTTTTGGTTATATGCTAAAACAAATAGAATTTATAATGCAAATTTAGCTAAAATGGGAGGCCAGGATGAGCACAAGGGAAAATAAGGTGTGCAGGGAAGAAAGGATTCTTCAGAGCAGAAGAAGAGAGCTGCAGATAAATGAGACCTGAATCAGAAGGCAGCTATGGGAAAGGACAGTAATTTGGCATAAAAACATGCAAACAGTAAATAAATAGATAAATAAAAGTTATGAACAGATAAATAAATAAACAAAGGCTAAAAAAAGGAAATAAGTTATTACATTAAACAAAGAAAAAAATTCAATATGGATTTAGTACACAGGAGGCAACTTACTACAAATTACTATGACGAGGAATCAGTAAAACGCAAAAAATAACCCCAACTTTCTAATTACAGGAAAATAGGAAAATATTTTTGCAAATGTTTATAAAAATAAAAAGATCTTGCTCTCCTCAGCTTTTTTGATGGCTTCCCACTCTGGCAGTAACAGCAAAGAATTCAGCAAACTGTGGAAGCAGGGAGGAAGCCATAACGGGTTTATTTCCAAATCCAATTAGTCCTGCTTTCAAGCACAAACTCTCAACAGATATATCTCTCCGTTTTTGTATTATGAAAAAATGGAGCAAGCTTTGTCATTGAGCTGACTAAATCAGCAGCAGTGGCATAATCTCATTAACAGCCACTCTGAAAAGGAGTAGTGGCTGTAGCAAAGGAGGGGGGGTTTAAATGCACTTTCAGTGTTGCAACAAAACACAGTGTTTTTTTCAATCTACCAAAGTTCTGGATTTATGCCACAAGAAGTCCCTTCCATGCTGCAATGTCAATGTTTCCTGCTGCCAAAGAAATAACTCCTGCTGGATATCCTTGATGCACATCACCAAGGCTAAGGTATTCAGGTCATTGCTAATTTTATATACCTGCTTTTGGACATGCAAAACTATCTGTGTTAGTTTTAACCTCATTCACCTATGCTTTAGAAAGAGTAGTTTAAAATTCAATTGCCACATCTTCAGAATTGTGCACAAGAGTGGAAATATCTGTATAGTCACTACCGAAGATAATTCATTCCCTTTGCTATTGGAGAGATACCTCCTTAAGTTATAAATTCAGAAAGCTGGAGGTTTTATGCAAATGCCTTGATGTGCTATTTCGCACAGCAAGGAATATGTACCATCCAATTTCCTCACACACACAACAGTAAATTCCTTCAGTCCTTCACTTTTCTTCCCTCTCAAAACCATCATGTCTTTTCCACTGCTCTCTTTCTGGTCCAAAGTTGCACATTCCCCTCCATCCTTAGTGCCCTGGTTCACCATCCATCTTTTGTAGACCCCACACCCCATAATTTCTTATTCCTCAGGCCCTTTATTTCTGTTTCCTGTACCTAAGACTTCCAGCTCCTCTACATGTATCTCCCCAAATTATTTTGTTCTACCGTTCTGCTCTTATTCCTTTTTTTGGGACAATGTTATTTTTCTCTTCCTTCTTTACATCCTTTCCTTAGTTCTCTTTGACTAAGGTCTTCCCACTGTCTTCCTGAATTTTCCTTCTGCCTGCAGCCATTTCTTATGTTCCTCTGTCATTTTCTCTGGATGTGGTCCCTAGCATGCTCTCACTACAGTCAGACAAAGACAGATGAGAAACTCGCGGATCAACAACAGCAGATCAAAATCAGTATTATTTTGGACCATCGGTCTCACACTATTGTGAAACACCGTAAAATCCTCAACTATTATTTTAATACTTAAGGTGTTTATTCAGTAAACACAACAGAAAAAGAATACAAAAAATGCCACTGGTTACACTAGTATTATCAGCAGTCTTCACCACTGTGGAAAGTGGGCTACATCTGCAGTCATAAGAACCAGTTTTTAATTGCTTCTAAGGCCAAACTTTACTTCACTGGGTTGGAAAAGTACATGTTTACCTCACTGTGTGTTTGTGTTAAGGAGTTTGCTAGGATTGCTTCCTGGGGATGCCTATGAGTTTTCTGTTTTATTTAATTAAGCAGAAAAATAAACCAACCAAAAATGAAGCACTTCTAGGACCTTTGTAACCCTTGTAAGCTGAAATGTTTGTATGATTTCAAGACTTTGTATTAGGCAGCGGACTAAGAATATTCCTGTTGTCTGGAAAATTGTCAAAACTTCAAACTTTTGAAAGAAATCATAGCCACCAGATGCTTATGAGACTTTTTAGATCATAATGGATAAACCAAAGAGCCTACCTTTGGTAGTATGGTCCACTCTAGGCCTAAATGTTAGTCTAACCAGTATCAGTGGCTCTGTTTAAAAATCCATTTGGATGTTTAAAAGATTTACGTCTAAATCAGGGAAGCAGTTTCAAATTTTATTAGTAGTATTGTCACTATTATCATTATTAAGTGTCTTTGATAGAAGTGCTGTAACTTCATGCTAGCCATGTATTCAGCAGATGGAATAAATAAAGTCAGGCAAGTCATTAAGTAAAAAATTGTTTAGAATAACAGTGGAGACTGGAATAAGGTGACAATCCATATTTCCTTAAGCATGAAGGACATGTAGAAGTAAAGAGCAGGTTAGGGACGTATATTCACTTAAGCTATGGGGAAGTGAAGGAAACAGAAGCAAATCCCAAAACAGGGACTCCCAACATTTGGGAGTAAGGCAATTATTAAACTATTAGGAGTTACTGTGAATTGAGTTTTGAAAATCATATATTTGTTCCTCATTGCATAAGAGTGCCCCTTAGAAGACTAAGTCTCCCTTAAGCCCAAAGTCTAACATGTAAATCCTTAATTAAGAGCAGTATCATTTAGAGGCTAAATAATATTTTCTCTGTGATTGCAAATCTGATCCATAGTAGTGCTCTAGACACAGGAAATTATGTCTGAAACTCATTACAAGTCTTCTTCTTATTACAATATATATTAAGAAGATATTTTTTCTATTTGAGTGTAGAAAAAAGGGGACCATAACCACCTGTGGTCAGCAAAGAGGAACAGATTAGAAAAAGCAGGTTGCAGAAATAAGACTAGCAGCAGGGTAGAGAGAGTGGAGGGGGAAAAATAGATATGAGCATGGATAAAATGCTGGACTTTGGAACTAACAGCATGAAATAAATGAAGTGGAAGGGCAGAAGAGAGATGTGGCAAGGAGCCAGGCTGCAGGTAGAGACAGACTAAGCAGAAAATTAAAGAAGAAAGTGACATGGTGAAGAAAACACACTGAGATTGAACCAGGGAGATTGGGACTGTGAGCAAGTGGGAAAAGGGGATAAGTATAACAGAAGGGCAGGATGGCTGGAATGAAGCCAAAGCAGAGAAAAGAGAAAGCTTGGATAAGACCCAAGGAGAGGGAGGAGGGGCTGAAGCTGGTCGTGTAAGGAAATTAGAATTGGGATAAGACATCTACGGAAAAGACATGAAGTCAGGCAAATGAATGGGACAATAAAGCAACAGAATAAAGACAGGAATGGAACAGACTGGAGGCAGTGGGGCAAACAAGGTTACATGTGGGAGGAATGAACCATGAAGACTGTGTCTATTCATACACAGAGCTTGGAATGGAAGCCAAGCTCCCCAAGTGTCACCACTACCATTCTGCAGTCAGGATGTTTAACCTATAAGGCGTATGAGTAAGCCTTTTAAACATCTGGAATAGTTCAGGTAAAGAAGAACAACCTAATACTGTTTTCAGCTATTTAAGCCAGTGACAAAGGTTACTTAAAAGTTTTTCTAAAGCTGAAGTAGACTTCAGCAGTATTTACTTCAAGACTGATAACCTGCATTTTCTGTTTTCCAACCCAACAGGAAATCAGTCAGAGAAAAAAATAAAACAAATCAAGGGAAAACATTATGTGATCTTGTGATTAAAGATGCTTATAAGTTACGCTCCTGCAAGCTACAGATTAGTATTACAGATAGGATAATAAAACTGGCACTCCTCAAAGTTTGAGCCTAAAGAGTGCAATTAACTTGCTTTTCATATATGTCTCTCATATATGAGAGAAAGTTGCTACAACTGGTATTTAAAGGAAAATTACGTTTATATTAATCACTGAGACCTTGCAATAACCAAATAAGTATGCAGTGTAGTCTGTGCACATTTCAGCTTTAAAACCATACATGTAAACACTTAAATTTTACTTCATAAATGGAGGCTGTCCCTAGTCTCTATATGAAGCTCAAACTTGTAAATT